TTTACAGTCCTACCAACAGTGTATGATCATTCCCTTCTCTCTTCATCCTTGCCACCATTTGTTATTCTCTGTCTTTTTGATTATAACCGGTCTAACTGGAGTGGGATGATATCTCAGTATGGTTTTAATTTTCATTTCCCTGGTGACTAGTGATGTTGAGCATTTTTTCATGTACCTCTTGGCCATTTCTATGTCTTCCTTTGAAAAATGTCTATTCAGCTCCTTTGCCCATTTTTTAATTGGGTTATTTGTTATTTTACTGTGTAATTTTTTGAGTTCCTTGTATATTATGGATGTTAATCCGTTGTTGGATACATAGTTAGCAAAAATTTTTTCCCTCTCTGTAGTTTGTCATTTCAGTCTGTTGATTGTTTCCTTTGCTGTGTTGCACAACAATTTGAATGTAGTTAACACTACTGAACTATACACTTAAAAATGGATAAGACGGTAAGTTTTATGCATTTTGAAAAAAAAAATTTATTACCATTTTAGTAGGGTTTCAGGACAGAGCTGAGGTTAATGTGTGTGCTCAATTTAGAGTCTTTAACAAGAATTTAATGGTGGCTTTGTTTTCTGTTTGTTTCCTCTGTGTTTTGTTCCTCTGTTTAGTGTTTCCCACCCTTCTGTGGGTTAGATGAACATTTTTAGGATTACATATTATTTTCACATGCTTTTCTGAGGACAGCGGTCATGTTGGATTTCTGCCCACCGTAGTCCAGTATCACCTCATCTTGATTACACTGCAAAGACCCTATTTGCAAATAAGGTCACATTCATAGGTTTCAGGTGGATGTGAATTTTAGGGTACATTATTTAACGCAGTACAGTTTTGATAAGGAAGTCCTTCTACTTTGTTGTTCTTCAGCATTACATTAGCTGTTCTTGACAATTTACTCTTTTATATTCATTTTAGAGTTAGCTTGTCCAGTTTGATGAAAAGCTCTTTTTGGAGTATTGATTTAAATGGCATAGAAATTTATAGATTAATTTAGAGAGTTCCACTATCTTTATAATCTTGGATCACTGTATCTGTGAATGTGATATATTCTATTTATATAATGTTTTAAAATGTACTTCAACATAGTTTTGTATTTTTTATAAAGATATTTTGCATTCAATTGCTGTCATAAGTAATACATTTTAAAGATTATATTTTTAAACTGTTACTAATATATAAGAATGCGGTTTATTTTAAGTGTATTTAATATCCAGCAATTTCTCTGACTTCTCTTTAATTCTAATAATTTTGTCTATAAAGTTTCTTGGATTATTTACATTTACATGTTTTTAACTGTCTCTTTTGACTCTGGCCTTGTTGCTATCTCTTTCAGATTATAAATTACTAGAGGACAGAGACCTTTCTTTAATATGTTTTGTAGAGTAAATGCACATTGAATTATATACTGAATGATATGAAAGGAAATTCTTGAATAGTATTCAGGGAAAGAAAACTTGTGATATCTTGCACAGGGTTAGGGGTAGTAAAGGGTAAACCAAATGTAGAGAGAGTAAAGGGCTGAATCAAAGGATGCAGGATGATATGTAACTGAAGAGTAAGTATGCCTTCATTAGAATGGGGCTACGTATAAAGGGCCTTTAAGTCTAGAGTTAAGAGTTTGTATTTTATTTGGAAGGTGGTCGATAGAACTATACTGTTAGGAAAATCATGCCTTTAATTCTAAAGATCAATAAAATTATTTAAAAATGTGTGTTTTTGATTGGCTTAAGGTTTAGACAAGGGACCTGAAAATCTAGGGCAGGAAATCTTATAATGATAGGAAATGATCAGATAAAGGTTGGAGAAGAATTAACAGAATGTTGTTCACTTAAAAAGAAATAATAAATTGAATAAACCAACTTTGTTGTGAGACATTTTTCCTGTATCCCCAAACTAGATTAGGAATCACTGTGAAGTGCTGGCATGAAGGCAGAAGGTAACCCTGTATTGTTATTCAGAGGCAGAGAAAATTATTTTGAAAATTGGTTGTGTATGTTTGTATCCTAGAGAACACCACAAGAAATCACTAATGAGCTATTGTTGATTATTACTGAGATATCTGAGGATTAGAGAAAGCTGAATAAGGGAGGGGTTGGAGGGTAAATGTCTTAAAGCCAGGCAATTATCATTCAATTTTTGCTACACTAGTATAATTGAACAAAATGTATAAAATACATGATGTGTAAATGTTTAAAAGACAACAAAATCAGAAAGAAAAATAGCTTGGAAACTTGGGACTGAAAAAAGAATAAGAGGTTTGTGTATTAGTCTGTTTCTGTTGCTTATAACAAACTTCCTGAAACTGGGTAATTTATAAGGAAATGAAATTTATTTCTTACAGTTTTGGAGGCTGCGAAGTCCAGGGCACACATCTGATGAGGGCCTTCTTCTTGGCGGGGGGTCTGTATAGTGTCCCATGGCAATGCGGGCTATCTCATGGTGATAATCCCAACAGCAAGAGAGCTAAGCTTCTTACTTGCTCTCCTTATGAACCCATCAGAACCACACCCATGACAACCCTTTAAACCATCAACCCATTACTCCATGAATGGATCAATCCATTCATGAGGGAACAGTCCTCGAGATCCAGTCACCTCTTGGAAAAGGTCCCACCTTGCCCCAACATGTTGGCCCCACCTTCTACCACCATATTGGGAGTTAAGTTCCCCAACATGAGCTTTGGGGTACATTGAAACCACAGCAGTTATTATTATTCTTACATGTTGCCTGTTGATAGAAAAAGCAGTTTGCTTTTTCTAAAATTTGAAAGCCTAATTTGCAAAGTAAGTTGCAGAAAAATAAGTTATTTAGTTTATTAAAAATAAAAAGCCTCGTACTGAACTGGAAAGTCAGTGGTCAAACTCATTTTTAGCAGCAATAGCTAATTGGGTTTATCATCATTCTATATAGTCTCATGTGGGCATTGTAACATTATGTATTAGGTTGGAGGTGTCATTTCTGGGCTAGTTGATGTAGCAATGGCTAGAGATTCTAGAGATCCCTTGTGTTCTGGAGCTCCCATAGGTCCCTTTCTGTATATTTACAATAGATTTATAGATATACCTTCTTAGTATTATTTTTGCCATTGTGTCCTGGCTAGGAACATATTCTTTAAACAGATACTTTTGTGAATCTTAGTACTTCATACCCTATATTAGAAATGTTTTGTGAGGACAGGAATTTTTGTCTGTTTTCTTCACTGATGTATCTCTAATGCCTACTAGATGGGAGATGCTTAGTAAATAGTTATTGAATGTGTAAGTGAATGAATGAGAGAATGCAGTAATATTGGTAGTAAAAACTTTTTTGTGATTATATTCAGAAATGCTGCAGGTCTCTTGAAAGATCTTGACTAAAAGCTTTGTTATAAGTTTGTTATTGTGTATTGTTTTCTCCCCTAGGAAGTAGCATTTAATGTAAGTGCACTTGAAGGGATTGTGAGGTCAGAGACATAAATACTGAGGAAATTAAATAAAAGCTCAGTACACATAAATGTTCATCAAAAATTTTATTTTCCATTTTTCTTGGCACAAGGCTTCTCTGTAGCAAGTGTGTGTGAACTGCATTATTCCAGTATAGCTACATTATTGGCATGACCCTGTGTGAACCTGTGAGATCTGGGGCATGTAATGAGTTAAGCTGATACTGATGAAGTGTCAAGAATGTGTTTAAATACCTCTGGACTCTTGCCAGACCCACATTTCCAATATTATTCTTTATTTTAGATTCAAATATACAGTATACCGGATGCGCTTAAGAATGCACACAGAACTACTTTCTGACTTTACTGTAATTCAAAGAGAAACTTTTTTTTTTTTTCTTTTTGTCTTTTTTCGTGTCCGGCAACGGATTGCAACCCTCAGTGTCGTGCCCGTACCGGACCGGACCGGCAACGGGATCGCAACCCTCGGTGTTGCGCCCGCACCTCGCTCAGCCAGTGAGTGGGAACCGGTCTGTATGTGGGATCCGAACCCTTGGCGGGAGCGCCGCCGCGCTCCCAAGCGGCGCACTGCAGCAGTGCGCCACCGGGCCGGCCCAAAGAGAAACTTTTTGAAGTGAGACAGGTCTTTACATATTACTTAAGAATAACTTGCCTCAGATCTTGGATTCTTAATTGAGGATCTGCTTTTTACTCAGGTAAAGCTTCTAAAGGACTCCTTCATATGAGTATAATCAAATTCTGAATAGGTGGTTTCTATAAATACTGAGGGGATATTTGGATAAATTATTAGAATTGAAATTTCTCCCATGCCATTTCCCAGTATTTCAAGAGACAAAAAATCTATTAAACATGGCATTGATGCAAGGGGAATGCTGATTAACCCATAAGAGTATTTTCGTGTGGCACCATTTACAGACTTGTTCCTACTTTCATCTCAGTGGTAATTTATGTAATGAAAATTTTTGTTGTTACTAAAGAGTGTCCATTAAACTAATTATTTCTGCATAAGTCTTATGACTGGATAGTTGTTTGGACATATTTCTGGTATTTAGAATTTTTTAAAGATGTATTAATTCTGAAAAAGAATCATTCATTTTTCTCTCCTTACTAGTGATTTTTTGTCTTTGAGCATACTTTCTGCTCTGATGACTTTTACTGACTCTGGCAAGCTGAAGCCTGTCTTTTTGCTGGGTAGTGATTGGGTTTCTCATTTTCTGTTACAAAGGACCTTTCAAGTTCTATTAGTAATCTATTGTAATACTTCTGTATACATAAGTAATGCCCCAACCTGAATGTTTTGTAGCTCTTCTTTATATAAATTGAGAGATTTTAATAAGGAAGTTATTTTGATGTACAGAGCATGTTAAGTATGTTTTAGAGACTAAACAAGCTGGCCAGTTAGCTCAGTTGGTTAGAGTGAGATGTTGTAACATCGAAGTCAAGGGTTTGGATCCCCCGTACTGGCCAGCCACCAAGAAAAAAAAGGACTAAACAGCTATAGTTTTTTAACTTTAAGGAACATGAATCTGATGCTTTTTCTTTTTTCTTTTTGGATTGCAGACAGGATTTCTTCATATTCTCTGTTACAACTTTGGAGTAAAAACCTACAATCAGAATAACTATGAAGAAAGTTCTTTCTGGCTTAGGTAATATAAACAAAAAAAATGAATGTAAATTAAGGAATATTGTCATAGAGGTAAGTAAATATTTACTGAAGGGTACTTTGGCAGTTTAAACCTCTGTGACTTCAAAAGCTAACATGCTAAATTTATTTACTTCTTTAACATGTATTGTTTATTATTCTTACATGTTGCCTGTTGATAGAAATATTCATTCTCTTCTTAATGTAATATAAGAGCATACTCCTCCCCGCCATTCCTCCTCTGCATCTCCGTCAGGAGTATGGAAAATTTTTTAATTGTTACTTTGGTACTTATTGCTGTCTGACATCCCAGAGTATAGGGGTGTGTGTGTGCGGGGTGGGGGTTGGGGAGTAGGATCAGCTAAAATGATTAGTCTTAGATGAATTTTTTTTTCCTATTCATTTTTTTATTTTAGTATTTACTTGTACATATTTGTGGGATACAGTGAGTGTGTTGTTTCAATACATTCTTCACTTAAGGTAGATACCCATTAGGGTTTTGTGCCCATTAGTCTACCACTTCTTCTTTCCCCCACTCCCATCCCCAGCCTCTGGTAACCATTATTCTACTCTCTACTTCTATGAGAACCATTTTTTTTTTAAGATTCCACATATGAGTGAGATCATGTGGTATTTGTCTTTCTGTGCCTGACTTACTTCACTTAACATGATGGTTTCTGGGCCGGCCCGGTGGCGCACTACTATAGTGCACCACTTGGGAAGCACGGTGGCGCTCCCACTGAGGGTTCAGATCCCGCATGCGGACCGGCCGCTCACTGGCTGAGCGAGGGGCGGGAGCAACACCGAGGGTTGCGACCCCGTGGCCGGTCCCGGTCCGGTACGGGCGCGACACTGAGGGTTGCGATCCGTTGCCGGTCATGAAAAAAGACAAAAAGGAAAAAAAAAAAAACATGATGGTTTCCAGTTCCATCCATGTTGTTGCAAATGATAGGATATCATTTTTTATTATAGCTGAATAGTATTCCATTATGTATATATACCACAGTTTCCACAATTTTTTTTTTATCCATTCATCTATCCATGGGCATTTAGGTTGATTTCATCTCTTGGCTATTGTGAATAGTGCTGTGATGAACATGGGAGTCCAGGTGTTTTTTTGATATATTGATTTCATTTCCTTTAGGTATATACCCAGTAGTAGGATAGCTGGGTCTTAAAGTAGATCTATTTTTAGTTCTCTGAGGAACCTCCATACTGTTTTCCACAATGGTTGTACCAATTTACATTCCCACCAGCAATGCAGGAGAGTTCCTTTTCTCACCAGCATTTGTTACTCTTTGTCTTGTTGGTAATAGCCATTCTAACTGGAGTGAGATGACATCTCATTGTGGTTTTAATTTTCATTTCCCTAATAATTAGTGATTTTGAACATTTTTTCATGTGCCTGTTGGCCATTCATGTCCTCTTTTGAGAAATGTCTGTTCAAGTCCTTTGCCCATTTTTTAATTGTCTTTTTTTCTTTTGAGTTGTTTGAGTTCCTTATATATTCTGCATATTAGCCCCTTATCTGATGTATAGTTTACAAATAATTTCTCCCATTCTGTAGGTTGTCTCCGTCGATAGTTCCCCTTGCTGTGCAGAAGCTTTTTAGTTTGTAGGCCCCTTATGCGTTTTTGCTTTAGTTGCCTGTCCCTTTGTAGTCCTGTTCAAGAAAGTGCTACCCACTCCTATTTTGTATAGCATTTCCCTTATGTTTTCTTCTACTAGTTTCATAGCTTCAGGTCTTAAATTTACATCTTTAATCCATTTCGGGATGATTTTTGTGTATGGTCAATGTATTAGTCCATTTCTGTTGCTTATAACAAAATACCTGAAATTGGGTAATTTGTAAGAAAACAAAATTTATTGCTTACAGTTTCTGAGGCTAGGAAATCCAAAGTCCAGGGGATGTATCTGGTGAAGGTCTTCCATGGTGGTGGCTTCAGTGACACATTGCAAGATGGCAGAATCAGAGAAAGAGAGACTCTTATTTGCTCTCCTTTGGAAGTCCTCAGAACCTCACCCATGAGCATTATTAATCCATTCATTAGGGCTTGGTCCTCAGAATCTAATCACTTTCTTCAAGGCCTCACCGAATTACCATAATACAATTTCCCATCCTCTTAACAGTCAGAGTGGAGATTAAACTTCTAATACATAAAACTTGGGTGACAGAATTGAATCCTTATCAGTGACAGATAGGGGTCTAGTTTCAGTCGTCTACATGTGTATATCTATTTATCCCAGCACCATTTATCGAAGAGGCTCTCCTTTCCCCATCGTATATTCTTGGCACCATTGTTGAAAATCTGTTGGCTGTAAGTGCATGGATTTATTTCTGGGCTCTCTGTTCTGTTCCATTTGGCTATTTGTCTATTTTTATTCCAGTACCCATTCTGTTTATGTTACTGTAGCTTTATAGTATATTTTGAAGTCAGGAAGTGTGAAGCCTCCAACTTTGTTCTTTTTGTTCAAGATTGCTTTAGATATATGGGGTCTTTTGTGGTTCTGTACAAATTTTTTTTTTTTTTTTTTTTAAAGATGACCGGTAAGGGGATCTTAACCCTTGACTTGGTGTTGTCAGTACCACGCTCAGCCAGTGAGCGAACCGGCCATCCCTATATAGGATCCGAACCCGGGGCCTTGGTGTTATCAGCACCGCACTCTCCCGAGTGAGCCATGGGCCGGCCCGTTCTGTACAAATTTTAAGATCTTTTTTTCTATTTCTGTGAAGAATGTCATTTGTATTTTCATAGGGATTGCATTGAAAGTGTAGGTTACTTTCAGTAATATGGACATTTTGATGATTAAATTATTCCAACCCATGAACATGGGATATCTTTCCATTTCTTTGTGTCCTCTTCAGTTTTTTTCACCAATGTTTTATAGTTTTCTTTGGAGAGATCTTTCATCTCCTTCATGAAATTTACTCCTAGGTATTTTATTTTTTCCTAGCTATTGTGAATGGGATTACTTTCTTGATTTCTTTGTCTATTTTGTTGTTGATGTATAGGAAGGCTGTTGATTTTTGTGTGTTGATTTTGTACTCTCCCTCTATACTGAATTCATTTATTACTTATAGTAATTTTTTGGTGGAGTCTTTAGGGTTTTCTATGTATATGACCATGTCATCTGCAAATAGGGATAATTTGACTTCCTCCTTTCTGATTTGGATGCCCTCTGTTGCTTTCTCTTGCCTTATTGCCCTGGCTAGAACTTCCAGTAATATGTTGAATAAGGGTAGGGAAAGTGGGCATCCTTGTCTTGTTCCAGATCTTAGAGGAAAAGCCTACAACTTTTGTTCATCCAGTATGATATTAGCTATGGGTTTGTCATATTCGGCCTTTATTGTGTTGAGGTGCATTTCTTCTGTACCTAATCCGTTGATTGTTTTTATCACAAAGTGGTGTTAGGTTTTATCAAATTCTTTTTCTGTGTCTATTTAAACGATCATGTGGTTTTCTCCCTCATTCTGTTGATGTGATGTATCACATTTATTTATTTGTGTATGTTGAGCCATCCTTGCATCACTGGGTTGAATCCTACTTGATCATGGTGAATAACCTTTTTAATGTGTTGCTGGATTCTGTTTCCTAGCATTTTGTTAAGGAGCTTCACATCTGTGTTCACTAGGGATATTCGTCTGTAGTTTACTTTTTTTGTTGTATCTTTTTTGGTTTTGGTATGAGGGTAATGCTGGCCTCATAGAATGAGTTTAGAAGTATTCCATCCTCTTTAATTTTTTGGAAGAGTTTGAGAAGAATTGGTATTAGTTCTTTTTTAAGTGATTGGTAGAATTCAGCAGTAAACTCATCTCATCCCGGGCTTTTCTTTGTTGGGAGGCTTTTTATTACTGTTTCCACCTCATTACTCATTATCGGTCTGTTTAGGTTTTCTAATTCTTCATGATTCACCTTTGATAAGTTGTATGTGTCCAGGAATTTATCCATTTCTTCTAGGTTTTCTGATAGTTGTTTGTAGTAGTCTCCTATGCTCCTTTGTGTTTCTGTGATATCAGTTGCAATGTCTTTTTCATTTTTGATTTTGAGTCTTCTCTTTTTTTCTTCATTATTTTAGCTAAAGGTTTATCAATTTTGTTTATTGTTTCAAAAAACCAACTCTTTGTTTCATCAATCTTTTGTATTGTTTTTTAAATCACTAATTCATTTATTTCTGCTCTGTCTTTATTTCTCTCCTTCTACCAATTTTGGGTTTGGTTTATTCTTGTTTATCTAGTTCCTTGAGTTGTAACATTAGGTTGTTTATTTGAAGTCTTTTATGATGTAGGCATTTATTGCTAAAAAATTTCCTCTTAGAACTGCTTTTGTTGTATCCCATAGGTTCTGATATGTTGTGTTTTTATTTTCACTTGTCTTCAGGAATTTTTAAATTTCCTTTTAGATTTCTTCTTTGACCCATTTGTGGTTTAGGATCATGTTGTTTAACTTGCATGTATTTGTACCATTTCCAGTGTCCCTTTTGTTGTTGATTTCTAGTTTTATTCCATTGTGGTTAGACAAGATATTTGATATGATTTCAGTTTTTTAAAGTATGTTGAGACTTGTTTTGTGACCTAAACAATTCTAGAGAATGTTCTGTGTGCTGCTGAGAAGAATGTGTATTCTGCATCTGTTGGATGAGTGTTCTGTAAATGTCCATTAGATTCAGTCGTCGTAGAGTAGAGATTCATTCTGATGTTTCTTGGTTAACTTTCTGTCTGGATAATCTGTCCTTTGTTGAAAGTGGGATTTTATAGCCCACAACTATTATTGTGTTGGAGTCGACCTTTCCTGTTAGCTCCAATTGTAATTGCTTTGTATATCTGGATGCTCTGATGTTGGATGCATATATATTTAGAATTGTTGTATCCTCTTGTTGAATTGATCCCTTTATCATGATATAATGACCTTATCTTTTCAAACTTTTCTTGGCTTGAAGTCTATTTTATTTGATATAAATATAGCTACTCCTGCTCTTTTTTGATTTGCATTTGCATGAAATATCTTTTTCCTGTCTTTCACTTTCAGTTGATGTGTGTCTTTATAGAGGAAGTGAGTTTCTTGTAGGCAGGATATTTTTGATTTTTGCTTTATAATTCATTGATCCACTCTGTCTTTTAATTGGAGCATTTGATCCATTTACATTTAGAGTTATGATTAATATATAGGGTCTTGTTACTAACGTTTTATTTATTTATTTTCTGGTTGTTTTGCAGATCTCTTTTTTTCCCCTCATCTTACTGTTTTCATTTATGATTGAGTAGCTTTCTCTAGCAGTATATTTTTATTTCTCACTATTTGTTGTTAGTATGTTTCTTATAAGTTTTTGTGTTATGGTTACCATGAGACTAACAGAAACATGTTATAGTTATAACAGATTATTTTAAACTAATGATGACTTAATTCTGATATCTAAGATAAAAGAAAAAAACTAAAGCCGACTCTGTGCTTTGGTGTCATTCTACACACTTTTTGACATTTTGTTGTTTCATGTTACACCTTTTAATATTGCCTGTCTCTTATATGGTTGTTGTATATGTTATTGTCTTATTAGGTTTGCCCTTTAATCATACTAAGGATATAAGTGGTTTATTCACCACCGTTACAACATTGGAGTATTCTGAGATTGTTTGTGAACTTACTTTACTAATGAGTTATGCACCTTAAAATGTTTTCTTGATGCTCCTTAGCATTGTCTTTCAGATTAAAGAATTCTTTTTAACATTTCTTGTAAGTCAGGTCCAGTGTTGATGAATTCCCTTCAGTTTTGTTTCTCTGGGAAAGTATTTCTCCTTCATATTTGAATGTTAGTTTTGCTGGATACAGAATTCTTGGCTGACGGTTTTTCTTTCAGCACTATGAATATATCATCCCATTCTCTTCTGGACAGAGAAGTCTGCTAAGAGACATATTTGGGCTTCGTTGAATATTATGTGTTTCTTTTCTCTTTCAGTATTCTTTGTCATTGGTTTTTGATAATTTGATTATGATGTCTGTTCTCACTTGCTTTCAACCTGGAGAACCTCCCTTTGTATTTGTTGTAAGGCAGATAGGCTTGTAAGAAATTCTGTCACTTCTTGTTTATCTGGGAATGTATTTATTTAGTCTCCATTTTGAAATTTTTTTAAATTGAAATATAATTGATTTTATATGTCTGTGGGGTACAGTGTTGAACATCAATCCCTGCGTGCAATATGTGATCCTCAAATCAGGAAAATTGCTGTATTTATCATTACACAATGTAATCATTTTTTGAGGCGCTTTACCAATTTCTTTCTAACCCCCTCCCCCTCCCGCTTTCCCTCATCTGGTTACTTCAGTTCTGTTCTGTCCGTTTGAAAGTTCAACAAATTATTTTGATTTTTGTTTCTTCCTTCCTTCCTTATTTATTTATTTCTATTCCTTTTAGCTCCTACTTATGAGTGAATACATGCTATATTTCTCTTTCTGTGCTTGGCTTATTTCACTTAACAGAATTTTCTCTAAGTTCATCCATGTTGCTTTCATTCTGTTTTATGGCAGAGTAGTATTCCATTTTGTATATATACCATGTTTTCCTTATCCAATCATCCGTCCATAAACATTTAGGTTGGTTCCAACTCTTAGCTATTGTAAATAGAGCTGATAAACATGTGAGTGCAGATATCCCTTCTACATGATCATTTCCATTCCTTTGGGTATATTCCCAGCAGGGAGATATATGAAAGTTCTGTCTGTAGTTGTTTGAGAAGTGTCCATACTGTTTTCCATAATGGCTGTACTAACTTCTAGTCCCACCAACAATGTTAGAGGGTTCCCCTTTCTCTGCATCCTTGCCAGCGTTTGTTATTCTGTCTTTTTGGTAATGGCCAGTCTAATTGGTGTGAGATGATCTCTCAATGTGGTTTTGATTTGCATTTCCCTGCTGCTTAGTGATGTTGAGCATTTTTTCACGTGTCTGTTGCCCCTTCCAAAATTCGGTTAATTGTTCTTTCACTGTTAAGTTGTTTGAGTTTCTTGTATATTCTGGATATTAATCCCTTGTGGGATATATAGTTTGCAGATATTTTCTCCCATTCTGTAGGTGGTCTTTTTGCTCTGTTAATTGCTTCCTTTGCTGGGCAGAAGCTTCTTAGTTTGATATAATTCCATTTGTTTTTGTTGTTGTTGCCTGTGCTTTTGGGGTGTTATTGATAAAATCTTTGACCAGTCCTACTTCCTGAAGTGTTTCCCCTATGTTTTCCTTTGGGACTTTCATAGTTTTGGGTCTTGTTTTTAAGTCTTTAATCTATTTTTTTTTTTTCCTTTTTTCGTGTCCGGCAACAGATCGCAACCCTCAGTGTCGCGCCCATACCGGACCGGGACTGGCAACGGGATCGCAACCCTTGGTGCTGCGCCCGCACCTCGCTCAGCCAGTGAGCGGGAACCGGTCTGTATGTGGGATCCGAACCCTCGGCGGGAGCGCCGCCGCGCTCCCAAGCGGCGCACTGTAGCAGTGTGCCACCGGGCCGGCCCTGTCTTTAATCTATTTTGAGTTGATTTTGGTATATAGCAAGAGGTACATGTTTAGTTTCATTCTTCTACATATGGATATCCAGTTTTCCCATCACCATTTATTGAAGAGGCCATCTTTTCCCCAATGTATGTTCTTGATGCCTCTTTCAAAGATCAGCTGGCTGTAAGTTTGTGGGTTGATTTTTGGATTCTCTATGTTCCATTGATCCAAGTGTCTGTTTTTACACCAGTACCATGCTGTTTTGGTTACCATAGAATTGTAATATCATTTGAAGTCGGGAAGTATTATATTTCCGGTTTATTTTTATTTTTTTGCTCAGGATCACTTTGGCTATTTGGGGTCTTTTGCTGTTCAATATAAAAGTTATGGTTGTTTTTCTATTTCTGTGAAGGATGTCATTGGTATTTTGATGGGGGTTGCATTGAATCTGTTGGTTGCTTTGGGTAGTATGGACATTTTCACGATGTTAATTCTTCCAATCCAAGAGCATGGAGTGTCTTTCCATCTTTTTGTGTCCCCTTTTATTTTTTCAGCAGTGACTTGTAGTTCTCATTGTAAAGATTTTTCATATCCCTGGTTAAATTGATTTCTAGGGTTTTTATCTTTTGGGTGGCTGTTGTAAATGGGCTCGCTTTCTTGATTTCTTTTCTGCTAGTTTGTTATTGAAGTATATACAAATGCTATTGATTTTTGCATGTTCATATTGTATCCTGCAACTCTATTGAAATCATCTTCGTGTGCCCTTTTGGCATGGAACCTCTGCCTGGTGAGCCAGCTGGGGTGAAGGTGATCAGGATTTCAGTATTTATGACCTGTCATGCTTGGGATCGAGCTCTTACCTTAAGAGTTAGAGTTGAGTGGGGAAAGGAAGCCCAGTTCTCTCATTTATGCCTTCCCTGAATAGCACTTCTACAACATGTGTCTGGGAACATTAAGAGAGTCTGGCAGCCTGCCCCTCCTAAGGTGAAACCATAGCCTAGGATTCTAGGAGCTGGGGGGAGATGGAATTCCTATCTTTTTGGCTGCAGTCATCTGGAGTAGCTTCCATCATGTGGAGCCCGTATGGATGGGAGTAGGTCATGGCTCAAATACCACAGACTCTCCCTGTTTATGCTTGAGATATAGTTTATTTTCATGAATAAATGTTTTCCGATTTTCTATATACCCTCAGGACCGGACAATTTCCAGAGATTTTAAGTGGTTATTTGTTTTACTGAATTTTCTAGACAAATGGTTGTTTCATTGGGGAGAGGGTCCAAACAGCTCCTTATATACCACCATTGCAGAAGTTCCACCTCCCATTGGCTATCTTAAAAACTGGAAGTAGAAGGTAAAATATACTAAAGGAGACCTCTATGAGATAGTACTTACAATGACTAGGCCAGCATTTTAGCTTTGTTAGCAGGGTGAAAACTCAGTTTGGTAGTTCTGGGTGTTTTAGAATTTTTTTAAAAGGAATATTTGAAAGTTTTGTCTTCAATTTAGTTCAGTTCACCAAGATTTTATTGACATATAACCTTGGAATACCAATTGTATGGTGAGTGATCTTTGTTTTGCTATTTAACTTTTAGGTTTTAAAACCTTGGGTTTTAGGTCTTTTTTTTTTTTTTTTGTCTTTTTCGTGACCGGTAAGGGGATCGCAACCCTTGGTGTGGTGTCACCCACACCGCGCTCAGCCAGTGAGCACACCAGTCATTCCTATATAGGATCCGAACCCGCAGCGGGAGCGTCGCTGCGCTTCCAGTGCCGCACTCTCCCGAGTGCGCCACGGGGCCAGCACTTGGGTTTTAGGTTTTTAACGTATATTAAATTACTAATATCTTATTTGTGGCTATCAGAATGTCCCATAGATAATATGGTTTGGTAATTAAAGCAGAGAACTGAAAGTCAAATTTCTCTAGTCTGCAACCCATTGCTCTCATTTTTAATACCAATCTAGGAAATATTAGAAATCAGTTCACTACTACATTGGTTCATTCAGGTGCAAAATGGAACTAATAGTACTTCACAAGGGTGTTATGAGGCTTAATGAATATTGCTAAAGCATTTGTTTCTGTGAAAACAGCTGTATTTGTTTTATTTTTCAAATATATTTGTACTTCTTAGACTTTAAAATGTACCCATTAAGAGCTTATATGCACATGTAAACTACATATATAAATATATATATATCTCCAAATGGAAAAGAACATTAATATAATTATAGTGTTGATTTATTGGGTATCTCCTGAGCAAATTGTGGTTTTCTGTGGTTACAAAGTATTGCTTTATTCAATTGATTTTCATGTATTAATTGGCTAATTGTAGTACAAAATAGAAAAGTTGGAATAAAAGTGTCTTCTTAGTAATATATAAGGTGGAAAAATTATATGTAATTTGAAAGTAACTAATATATATATATACACACACACATATATTTTTTCTTTTTAATTATAGCCAAAGCTATGATATTGGGAAGATGGATAAGAGTTCTGTTGGGCCAGAAATGCTGGTAAGGATCACATTAAATATTTCAGTGGGTTGAAGAAGTAAAGTTGTGTTAATGTTATAAAATTATAATAGTCTGTCCCCCATTTGAGAGTAGATTAATTAATATATGAGTATGTAACACTTTGAACAGGGTTTGGCTATTCTAAAGCTTTGTATAAATGGAATCATACAGTATGTACGTTTTATGACTGGTTTCTTTTTCTTTATATAAGTTTTGAGATTCATCCATTTTCTTATGTCTTTTTTGATGATTTGACACTTTTGCTATTATGAGATAGCTACAGTCTTTCTCAGAGATGCCATATTTACTCCTTAAAAGTTTTTGTAGGAGTTTATAAGTTCTTACACAGTTGTTTCACAATAATAATGGTATTAAGTATTTTATATACATCACATGTGGTCCCTCTTAGTTTTTTAATGAAAGAACTCAGAGATATGAGACCCAAATGTCATTTCTTTAGATTGGCATAGCCAAAATGTGCTTAACATTTTTTTTTTTTAATTAGTAGGTCACCTTCGCCTGGACCTGCTATCCTCATTATACTTAGAGACTCTTCATTGAAGCAGGGCTCCTTTTTTTAAATTGCGAATCTTTAGTTAAACATATCCACACTGACTAGAATTATTCCCCTTATAAGTGCAGACCTGGATGGAGAAACTGACTTGATTCAGTTTTACTTTATTAAATTTAGCTGAGTTAGTAGATATTTTTTCTATAGGACAGTACAAAAGTACTTCAAAAAATTCATAGAAAAATAGAATTAAAAGGTAGTACAAATCTTTCCATGAACTTTTTTTTTTTTTTTCCTTTTGTCTTTTTTTTGTGACCGGTAATGGGATCGCAACCCTCGGTGTCGCGCCCGTACTGCGACCGGCAACGGGATCGCAACCCTTGGTGTCGCGCCCTCACCGCGTTCAACCAGTGAGTGGACCGGTCTCTATATGGGATCCGAACCCTCGGCGGGAGCGCCGCCATGCTCCCAAGCGCCGCACTCTACCGAGTGCGCCACCGGGCTGGCCCATTTCCATGAACTTTTTGAAGTGCCTGCCTATATGTGTTCCTACTGAAAGGGTGTGTTATATGTGCCCTTGGTCCAATTGGTTAATCGCAAATAGGCTGTAAAGCCTTTTGATGGAGACCTAATACAATGCTACCTATACAGTAGGTGATAAGCTGATTAAATTAAATATTGCGTTGCCTAGTTTCCTTATTTTTAAAGTGGGGATGATAAAGTACTTTAATGCTAAAACACTGTTATGAAAATAATTATATTAATGCAATTATATTAAATTTCAATGAGCCAGTAATATAACCATTAATATAAGATTCTTAGCCAATATTTGGTTTGGGTAGCATAATGAGGAGACATCACAAGACTATGTGCTTGCTTAAGGAAATGCTATTTCATAAAGATGACTTAGGTTCAAGAAGATGTCTGTCACTGTGTAAGTGGTAGTCAGCTGTTGTGTTGCTGTTTTATCCTGAGCTATGAGATTTTTTTTCTATTATTAATTATAGGCTAAAGTTCTACGGTTACTAGCCACCACTTATTTGGATTGGGATGACAGAGAATGCTATGATAAGGCTCTTAGCACTATAAACCTAGCAAACAAGGTAAAAGAGGTTTTTACTTTTGGATATTCACTTAATGAATTTTTAAAAGTTTGATTCACATTTTGAAATCTGGTTTAGACATTTCCTTCAGTATTACTCTTTTTTTTAAAAACACAGATTGTTACAGTTTCTTCTATAGCACAGAAAAGAAAAATAAAATATTGCTATGATCTGAATGTTTGTGTCTCCCCCTACTTCATATGTTAAAATTCTAATCACCAAGGTGATGGCATTAGGAGATAGGGACTTGGAGACGTGATTAGGTCAGGAGACCGAACTCTTCTTGAATGTCATTAATGCCTTTACCAAAGAGGCCCAAAGGAGCTTGGTCACCCCTTCCACCATGTGAAGACATGAGAAGGCACAGTCTGTGAGGAAGCAGGCCCTCACCAGACACTGAATCTACCGACTCTTTGATCTTGGAGTTCCCAGCCTCCAGAACAGTGAGAAATAAGTTTCTTTTTTTTATAAGCTACTCAGTTTATGTATTTTGTTACAGCAGTCTGAACGGACTGAAACAAATATGCCTCTTGAACACCAGAGATTTTTAAGAAAATTTTCTTTTGCATGAAAGAGAAATCTCTCTGTTGTGAGTTTTTAGGATAAAGAAGTAAATAATGATAAAATTGGCAGATAATGGGAGTTAGTATAAGAAACAACTTCAGTGGTTCACTTTCACCTCTTGCTCATACATACATAAAAACATGCGTATACCTTCACTCCTGAACAAGGAACACCGATAGTCAGGTTGAGGACCCTTTAAAAAGAGATTCAGGCTGGAGTGTTCTGGTCAAGATGGCAAAATAGATGGTACCCAGCATCACTCTCTCCCACAATCAACCAATTTACAATTATTACAAAGCAACGAATGCCAAGCTGGGGCAGCTCAGGGGAAGAGGAGGAGAGACCTACAGAGTTCATGTAAGTAGAAGTTGCAATGAGAGAAAGAAAGGACTGCTCTGACTGTTTCGAGCCCTGACCACCTCAAGCCTGGCCCTGGTGAGTACATGGAGCATGAGCTGGCAAAGCCCGCAGCTGTGCCCTACATATGAAGTTGCTTGGAGGCAGCAGGGGAGAAGAGGGACTTGGTGGCCCCCAGGCCAGCAAGACCACTAACAGGGTTCCCATGGACCTACATAGAACAGCCTTCCTAAGCAAAACCCAAACTGCAATAGACATAAAGGAAAATGATGAACAGATTTGACCTCAGAAGGACAAAAAATTTAGTAGTGACAAAAATTAAGTTAAACAGAAGCAATGAACTTGGAAGAAAATATGTTCAACACATTTAAGAAATAAAAGATAAATACTATATCTCTCTATATATTATTTTTAGTAGTTTTATGTGGATCTTTTTTCAAATCTCTGATCAATTTTAAGATATCTTGTTCCTTAAACTGTGGTTACTAGAGGTGGGAAAGGGGGAGTGGAAGGGACGTTAGTGAGAAATTGGTTAATGGACACAAAGAATGATTACATTTTGTAATGGTGAATATAAACTAATTATCCCAATTTGATCATCACACACCGTATACTATTGATATTCAACTCTGTACCCAACAAATATGTATAATCAATTATGTTTCAATAAAAAGAGTTCCCCCCAAAATAAATAAAAATATCTTGCTCCTTAAAAAAAATAAATAAATAAAATAAAAAGACATTCAGGTAAGATCGATGTGTTTTACTTAATAAGGCAATTAAATATAGTGCTACATTTTAGAGAGATTCTTTTTCAACAAGAATGGAAGCATGAAAAAGTTCAGTTAACCAAAATATTAAATTCCTCAGAGCATTTACTTGAACTGTATTTTTATGAAATTTGTGTCATGTGGATGGGGTTATTTAATGATGAAAAAGTTTTTTAACATTAAATTTTTTGAAATTAAAAAAATATTAACAGACAAGAACATTTTCAAAAGTTGCATCCTTTAATTTTTTTTTAATTTGCTAAGATACAAATCCAAATAAAAAATGGATCAAGACGACTCAGGAAGTAGCATACTAACTATATAGCTTTTCTCCAGTATCTTTGTTCATTAGATGCAGAAGTTGCAATTTTATAGCAGTAATCACTTACCTGCATTGCTCATAATATATCACATTTAATAGCCTAATTATAAATTTCGACATAGCTGAAGTAGCTGCATTAAGATTTCAGTTGCAATATACACTTTAAAAAGTTTTGTTTGAAAATATTTTCAAACTTACAAAAAAGTTACAAGAATAAGAATAGTTCAAAGAACCCACCTCTATATACTTTACCCAGATTCACCTGTTAACATTTTGCAAAGGTTCTTCGTGTGCGTGTTTTCTCTCTCTCTCTTTCTAGGATATAATTAACCAAATAATGAAGTTTCATTTTTTTTCTCCATTAAAGGATTAGCCTAAGATCAGGTTTTGCACTTATCTATCATGTCTCTTTAGTCTCCTGTAATCTGGAAATTTCCACAGCCTTTCTTTGACTTTTGTGTCACTGAGATTTTGGAAAACTACAGTAGCCCCCTACCTTGTTTAAAATAAAAGATCTTTATTTGGGCTTTACCTGATGTTTCCTCATGATCAGATTCAAATTATGCATTCCTGGCTAGAATGCTACGTAAGTGATTCTGTGTCCCTTTCAGGGTACCACATCTGCTGGCACATGATGTTCATCTGCTCCTCACTGGGGATGTTAATATTGATCATCTAGTCGAAGGGGCCTGATTTCTGCATTATATACTTAATATTTTTTCCTGTAGAAGTAGTAAACAGTTGGTGGGGAGACCTACAGATCATGCATATATTATGCTTGTTATTAAAATTTCCCTGAAGAGTTAGGATTCTTCCCTAAACCAATCTTTATTATGCTGGTTGCCAAATGATCATTTTCTCTTTTTTCTTTTTTGAATCTTCTTTGTTTTATTTTATTTTATTTTATCAATATACAATGTAGTAGATTTTCGTGTTCCTTTACCAATTCCTCTTTCCCCCGCCCTCTGCCCCTCCCTCCCCTATCAACATCATATCTGTTCACGTGTCTTAACAAGTTAAAGAAATTGTTGTGATTGTTTTGTCCCCCCAATTATTTGTTTGTGTATTTATTTATTTATAGCTCCCACAAATAAGTGAGAACACGCAGTATTTGTCTTTCTGTGCCTGCCTGGCTTATTTCACTTAATACAATTTTCTCTAAGTCCATGCGTGTTGCTGCGAATGGTAGTATTTCATTCTTTCTTATAGCAGAGTATTATTCCATTCTGTAGACATACCACAATTTCCTTATCAACTCATCTGATGATGGACTTTTGGGCTGGTTCCAAATATTGGCTATTGTAAATAGTGCTGCAATAAATATGGGAGTACAGGTATCCATTCGACACGATGATTTCCATTCCTCTGGGTATATACCCACCAGTGGAATAACTGGGTCACATGGTAGATCTATCTGTAATTGTTTGAGGAACCTCCGTACCATTTTCCATAAAGGCTGCACCATTTTGCAGCCCCACCAACACTGTAGGAGGGTTCTTTTTTTTCTGCAACCTTGCCAGCATTTAACATTCTTAGTTTTTTTGAATATTAGCCATCCTAACTGGAGTGAGATGGTATCTCAGTGTGGTTTTAATTTGCATTTCCCAAGTGCAGAGTGATGTTGAGGATTTTTTCATGTGTCTGTTGGCCAATCGTATATCTTCCTTCGAGAAATGAGATGTTGAGCATTTTTTCATATGACTGTTGGCCATTTGTATATCTTCTTTAGAGAAATGCCTGCTTAGCTCTTTTGCCCATTTTTTGATTGGGTTGCTTGTTTTTTTCTTGTAAAGTTGTTTGAGTTCTTTATATATTCTGGATATTAATCCTTTGTCAGATGTATATTTTGCAAATATTTTCTCCCACTCTGTTGGTTGTCATTACACTCTGTTAATTGTTTCTTTTGCTGTGCAGAAGCTTTTTAGTTTGATATAATCCCATTTGTTTATTTTCCCTTTAGTTGCCTGTGCTTTTGGGGTTGTATTCATGAAGTCTGTATCCAATCCTACTTCCTGGGGTGTTTCCCCTATGTTTTCTTTAAGGAGTTGTATTGTTTTGGGATGTATATTTAATTCTTTAATCCATTTTGAGTTGATTTTGGCATATGGTGAGAGGTACAGGTCTAGTTTCATTCTCATACATATGAATATACAATTTTCCCGGCACCATTTGCTGAAGAGGCAGTCTCTTCCCCAGTGTGTGTAGACTTGGTGCCTTTGTCAAAGATCAGATGGCTGTAGGTGTATGGGTTGATTTCCGGATTCTCTATTCTGTTCCATTGATCTATATGTCTGTTCTTATGCCAGTACCATGCTTTTTTGGTTATTATAGCTTTGTATTATAGTTTAAAGTCAGGTAGTGTTATGCCTCTAGCTTTATTTTTTTTTTTGCCCAGGATTGCTTTGGCTTCATGGTCTTTTGTCATTCCATGTGAATGTTAGGATTGTTTTCTCCCTTTTTTAAAAAAAATGTCATTTTAATTTTGATGGAGATTGCATTGAATCTGTAGATCACTTTGGGTAGTGTAGACATTTCCACAATGTTAATTCTTCCAATCCATGAGTTTGGGGTATCTTTACATCTTGTGTCTTCCTAATTTCTCTCAACAGTGGTTTGTAGTTCTCTTCGTAGAGATTTTTTTACGTCCTTGGTTAACTTTATTCCTAAGTATTTTGTTTTTTTGGTGACTATTGTAACCAAATGTTACACTAGTTGGAATATAGAAATGCTATTGATTTTTGTGTGTTGACTTTGTATCCTGCAACTTTGCTGAAATCATTTATCAACTTTAGGCTGTTCAATATATAGGATCATGTCATCTGCACACAGGGACATTTGATTTCATCTTTTCCAATCTGGATGCCCTTTATTTCCTTCTCTTCTCTGATTGCTCTGGCTAGTACTTCCAACTCTGTGTTGAATAGGAGTGGTGAGAGTGGGCATCCTTTTCTAGTTCCTGTTTTTAAGTTAAAAGCTTTCAGCTTTTC